CGCCCCTAGTCTAGAGGCGTATGGGAGAGGGGGGAGGGAGAGGGAGAGAGGGGGATGGAGAGAAAGGAGAGAGGGATAACGCAAATACAGTACATTGCACAAGTACACGTGTTACAGTACAACCACCCGTGCTAACAACGTGTTTCGTTAGACTCGAATTGGTGCTTAGCAAGGTTTACGGGCGTTAGGAGAGACAAGGAGAGGAAAAGGAAGAGAGGGAGGTTGATATGGAATCAGAGACAGACAGACAAAATATGAAAGGTGATGATAGGAGAGAAAGTTAGAGAATGGGAGAGAATATGTATGCACACACACACACACATACACGCACACACACACACACACACACACACACACACACACACACACACACACACCACATGTATATATATACATGCATATAAATATATATGATACATATATATATATAATATATATATATATATATAATAATATATATATATAATACATATATATATATGTATATATATATATATATAGATGTATTAGAGAGGAGAGAGAGAGAGAGAGAGAGAGAGAGAGAGAGAGAGAGAGAGAGAGAGAGAGAGAGAGAGAGAGCAAGAATAAGAAAGATTGCGATAGAAAGAGAGAATGATGAAAAGAAATAATAAGAAAGTGAACGGTAGAAAGAGAACGACAGAGAGGAGGGATTGTAAAGAACAAGAGAAAGGAGGAATTGGAAATGGAACGATAGAAAGAGAAAATGAAAAAAAGAACGAATAAGAAAGCGGCAGAAAGGAGGAATTAGAAAAAGGAGAGAGAGGAATTAGATAGAGAACGATAGAAAGAGAGAATAAAAAGAAGCGACAGAAAATGGAATTGGCAAAAGATAACAATAAAGAGAAGGAATTAGAGAAAATGAGAAAGAGAAACGAGAGAAAGAATAAAAAGAAAACAATAGAGAGTAGGGATTAAAAAGAGAGAATGAGAAAGAACGATAAATAAAGAAATCGAAAATAAAAAAAGGATTAGAAAAGACAATAGAAGGAATCAGAAAGAGAGAATGAAAAAGAGAACGATAAAGAGAGAAACGAGAGAAAGAAAAAAAAAATAGAAAGAGGGAGAAAATCAGAGAGACAAACTAGAGAATAAATAATGAATAAAAAGAAAAAAAGAGAGACGAGAGAGAAAGTGAATCGTTCCCAATTTTTACGCAAAAAAAAAAAAAAAAAAAAAAAGGCGCCAAACGTAAAACATCATCATACGTGTCCGAAACGCATCATGTATTTTTTTTTTTTTTTTTTTTCTTATCTGGTTTCGTTCGGATTACAAATCTAGGTTAAAAAAAAAAGTTGTGTAAAATTAGTTATCAGTTTTAATATCCGGTGATGAAAGGAGGGGTAACTAGTGTATTACAAATGGTTTTATTTATTTATTTGCTCATGTTTGATGTTAAATATTTATTTATTTAAGTTACTGCTAATAATAACAACGGTCATATTGATATTAACGGTTATGGTAATAATAGTCTTTCTAGTATTGTTGTGAGTACAGTGGTATTTGCAATAGTGGTGATTAATGATGATGGTGATAATTATAATAACTATAATGGCAATACTATTATTAATAATAATGCTAATGATAATAATAATAAGATTGATAATGATGGTAATGATAATGATAATGATGATGGTAATAATAAGATGAATGATGATGCTTATGATAATGATAAGAACATTATAAACAATAAGATAGTGGTAGTAGTAGCTGTTGTAGTAGTAGTAGATGTAGCTGAAATAGTGTTAGTAGTAGTAGTTGTTGTTGTAGTAGTAGTTGTTGTTGTTGTAGTAGCTGAAGTTGTATTAGTAGTAGTTGTTGTTTGTAGCAGTAGTTGTAGTAGTAGCAGTAGCAGATTTAGTCATAGTAGTAGTAGTTGTAGTAGTAGTAGTAGTAGTATTAGTAGTAGTTGTTGTTATTGTAGTAGTAATAGTAGTAATGATAACAATAATAATAATAAAATAATAATGATAATAATGATAACAGCGATAACGATAACAAAATGATAATAAGAAAGAAGGGCAACTTTCCCATAACCTTTCTATCTAACTGTGTCTCTCCTCCACATATTCACCTTTCTCTCTCTCCCACACCTGTCACCTGCGCACCCATAATAATCATCTGCACGGTTTCAGTTTTCTTTCTTCTTTGTCTATATCATTCTTTTATTTTTTCTCTCCCAAAAGACCGTCAATTTTCAAGCACTAACTTGCATTATCAATTTCGAAAAAAGAAAATAGTTTACACACGTCGTCCACCACATTTTTTCGTTTTCTTTAGGCTCGTAGACCTCATCTTCTCGTCTTTTTGTTCTTATGATAATTGGTGATATGCCGCTATGGAAGCCATTATTCTTGAATGGTTTCTTCGTTTCCTTTTTGAGAATGGTTGTTTTTTGTCGATGCCATATTTGTACAGCTGATAAATTTGTATTGTGTAGGGGTATATGCGTTTGTGTGAGTGTAAGCATACACACACACAT